AAATTAGCAAACTTTCAATATTTGACTACTTACATATAATATAATGAGAAATTTTAACCCTTATTGTTTGAAGAATTTAGGTCGTTAAAAAATGATAATTGTTATTTCCCAAATGTGCCTTTATATAGGCACGAGTGCAAATTCAAAATTCAATTTTAAAAAATAAGTTAGTTGGCATTTAATGTTTATTATATTATAAATATTTATTGAAAATCAATCTTTCAATATTTGACTACTTACACTTAATATAATGATAAAAAAATCTATAAAATTTAACTTTTCAGTCTCCTAAAATATCGAATTATGACCATCAAGATTTATTATTATGAGTATATTTGACTGTAAAAAATTTATTTTAAAAATATTTAATGCTAAATTTAGAACATTATTCTCAAATATATTTAAAAAAATATTCAGACACAACCGAAATAAAAGAATAAATTTAAGACTTCATATTCATATTACTGGCATTATTGAAATTCTCTCTTTTTTCATTTTTCATAAGTTAGTCCCAAGTAATTCTAAAATAATTTAAATATAGGCCAATTAACAATTGAAGAACCGCTAACATTCGATACAATATAGATGACAGCATTGATCATTTATATTTTTTGAAGAAAACTAAAAAATTTTTTAAAGAATAAAATTTTTCATTATAACCGATTTAGATTTAACTTAACGTCGCTGGAACACCTAGGCTGTAGAATTATTGAAACAGATGTGAGTGTCTAAACAATTATTCGGGCATCATCATTTCGAGCCGGATGCAAATTATTTATAAAAAATTTAATAGCCAGGGGTTAATGATTAACCGATAAAGTAATACCTTCCTTTCCCTAACGTTTCTCCCAGCATCCTAGCTCATAAAGAATGGATGGAAAAAAAAGACTGAGAATAACTCTGCTGCTTGGGTATTTTTAATATTAATTCTACCGTTATATTTAAATTCCATTTTAATATGGCCAACATGGCTCACATTATTTTTTAAAAAAAATTTGTTCGTCTTGGACCAGGTTGGCACAGGAAATACTGTTGAAAAAGTATTATCGAATACTAAGAAAGGTAATTAATTTAATTATACGAAAGAAATTACATCCCCCCCCCCCATCTTCCATTAAAAATTTGCCTGTTGTAAATATCATTCTAAGCTTATAAAAAATTTCTCCCCTTATAAGCTCTTCTCCCAAAATTAATATAATATTTCACATTTAATGAATGCGTTTAAAAGAAAAATTAATAAATTTTAAAAATAACGTAGAAAAAAAAGATGAAAACACAAATTTTTTTTTTATTATAATCTAATATAGCCAAAGGTCTACAATAAGTAGACTTAATAACATTTCTGGAGGAAAAAAACCATCTAATAGCTCTTTCCCTCTCCTTAGCAAAATCCTGGATACACCTATGATTATAATGTATTAACAGATTAATGGGTATTTTTTATTTTAAGCATCACAATTCACAACAAATGAAATATCTCCTTATTTGACATGTGTCTCAATTGCTATGAAATACATCATATAAATTGTTAAAATTTCATTTATATTTTCAAAATAATTTAATTTCAAATATTTACCTATTGTTTATCGAAAAGTTATAAAATATAAAAATATACTGGATTTTAAATATACTTGTATTTAAAACTATCACCTTTTAAATTTGGCTAATATATCGTGTTAATAAATGTAACGCATCTATTCATAAAGTTTTGAACGAACGTTAACGCGTTTAATTTTTGTCAATGAACTAGTGTTGTTAAACGGCTAACCTAATATTTTTGCCAAAAAATGTTATATGCATCAAGATTTCGTTAATAAATTCTCAAAGTCTTTCTTCCATCTATTAGCTATAATATTGGGTTAGCCGTTTTTAAAAAGAGCCATTTAACAACACTACAATGAAGGTTGAATCGATTGTGTTAATATAATCGAACAGATTTCATTATTTTTTTTATTTTACATTATATTAACTTAAATTTTACCTTACGGATTATTTCTTTCACTTAACATAATATTGATCTAATAGTTTCATTGATTGTTATACTACTAAACTGAATTTTAAAAAAGTATATAAAAACATAAATTTATTAGGTTTAGATATAGTTATATTTTAATATGAATTAAAACGAAATATCGAAATAAATTTCGTTTTATTATTTTATCATAATCCCACAACTTTAGCAGATTGATTAACGATTTTTGCTAAAATTATCTTTGAAATAAATATCATTAGAATATTGCTTCTATATTTAGAAGGCGTAGTCTATTTTTGTTGTAATTGGTCATTACCCCAAAAAGAGAAAAACAATTGTAAAATATTTTATAAAAAGCAAAATTTTTTGATAATTTATTAGAGGTTAAGGAGGAAGATTATGTTTTATAGGATTTTGAATTTCTGCCTTATCTCACATTTGATGAGATGACATAAAGTATTGGGATTTGGATGATGAGGCAATGTGATGATTATTAAGGAATAAATAAATTCATAGAAAGAGAAAAATTATTTTGTATGAGGACAACCTTTACTCATAAAATAGCACAAAAAGACCTATTAGATGAATCAAATGATATGCAACAAATATAGAGAGAAAGAAATGAGAATAATGAATTTAATAAAGCACAAAAGTTTTTCTTAAAAGATAAAAAAAATTGAGTTTTTTTCCACAATACTTTGCATTTAATAATTTCAATGGTATATAAAAAAACCAGTTATGTTCCCTTTATAAATGAAGCAGTTGATGGGTAACTATAAAAAAAAAATAACAAAAGGAAAAAATATCAAGAACATAAACTATAAATTAATAACATTTAAAAAAAGTTATCAGATAAAACTTGGATATCTTTTGTTTATCCATGTCTTACTTAACTTATGAAATTTAAATATAATTAAAATGTGACAAATTATTTTGATGTCTAAAATATATTTTAAAACAAAATACATGCAAAAAAATACTTAAAAAAGTATAGTGGGAAAAGGGTCAAATGTGTGGCCCCTCCAATGTCATATCCATTTTAATCCTTAAGCATTAGTGCTGTAAACATTTTTAAAAAAATCGAACGCGTTCGCGTTCAACGTTCATTGACAAAAATCGAACGCGTTCACGTTCAAATTCAAAAAAAGGAACGCGTTAAAGTTCATGAACGCGTTCATGCGTTCAAAATTTTATGATAAATTTTTTTTTAAATTTAATTTAATATAAATAAATGCCTTGTATTTTTCAACACAATATATTAGCCATGATAAAAATTAATAGTTTTATTTTGACAATATAATTATAAATACAATACAATTGAGCGATAAAAAAATAAATTTATAAAAAATATTTTCTTATTAATTTTTAATAATAATTGCTTTTCAAAATTTTCATCTGATAGGCTTGAACGCTTGTCAGTTAATACAGCGTTAGCTATACTAAAAACTCGCTCAAGGGGCATATAAATGGATTGCGGTGTAATACATGATATACAATTCTTTTAAAAAAGGGGAATTTATTAAAAACATTTAATGTTTTATCCATTGTTTCAAAAAATTGAGCTAAGTTATCATCCTCCAATCTGCCCTCTTCTTCCTCGTCAAAAAAAAGGATATCTCGGAATTGATTTTAAAACAGTGAAATATTTTTGATATTTGGGCCATGGTAATTCTAATTCATCTAATATTGAATTTTGATTTTCAGAATCTGATGATGAAATCAGGGTTGGCAAGTCGGTCAATTGACCAGTCAAATTCAGTCAATTGACCCTAGAAGTATTTGACCTGTCAAATACGGTCAAATACTCTAAAAATATGTTTAAAAAAGGGAAAAACGATGTAAATACATGTGATCACAATGTTTGCTTATTTTTTGTGTCCACAATATCAAGAGGAAAACTCACAAGTATGTGATATAATTCAAGAATTAGCTATTTTACAAGGTAGTGATGACCAAAATATTTTAAGTGATATAATTAATTTCAGAAGCAAAAACAGCATGTTTAATATAGCAAATTATGTGGAAAGTAACCAGAAACAATCAATTCCGACCTAGTTAATAGATTAAACTTTGTCCACCCTGCCCATTAAGAGACTAACAATTCCTAGTTCTACTTCTCCTTTAGAAAGAAATAAGTCGATTTGGGTTAATATTCTTATGAAAATGGAAATCGATTGAAGATCTAAGACATCAGGAAAATTGATTAAAAAATATTAAAGAAAATGATAATATTGAATATGAATCAGAACAAAACTCTGCTACAGAGAGCTACATGTTAGTTATTGAATGACAATGAATTTAAAAAATTAATATTATAGATTCATTTTACTATTATATTCAAAATAAAGTTAATATTAACTTAAAAAAACATATATTTGAATTTGACCCCATTTGACCATATTTGACCTGTCAAATATCGGTCAATTGACCGAAACGTATTTGACCGGTCAAATGCACAACCCTGGATGAAATATTTATATCCATGCAAATGCTAATCTATTAAATTAAAATATAAAATATTCAAATTAATAAACTTTAATCTTATCTTCTCTAGCAGTAGCACGTTATGGTACGTTAATTGCAATATGAAAGAGGAAAAAGTAAAAACAGCTGATTAAAAAATATAAGACTTTTTTGTTAAAAAATTGGATTAAATATTAATTTTTCAAATAAATAAAAATATAAGACTTTTTTGTTAAAAAATGCGGATTAATATTAATTTTTCAAATAAATAAAAATAAAAAGTGTTTTTAAAATTGAACGAACATAAAATTGAACGCGTTCATCAAAGAAAAGGAACGCGTTCACGTTCAAAGTTCGTCAAAAAAAAGGAACGCCGTTCATCACCTTTTTTCAAAAAAACGGAACGCGTTCGTTTACAACACTATTAAGCATACATTATTTATTATATATTAACTAGTTAGTTTTTTAAACACTATACTAGATTTATATAAATTAAAAATACCCATTCAAATGTATTTCATCAACTAAAATTTTCCACCCAAATAAACATTTTTTTGTTGTAAAATTTATTTTGGAATTATCAGCATCATAAATTCATGTTTTTTTTAAAAAAAATACAAGTATATAAAATAATTCACACATATTTTTAATATAAATAGTTGGTTTATTAATCAATTGAGATTTAATTTGATTATAATAACTTTGGCTTAATAATTGATTCTTGTCTGATAAAAAAAATTTGGTTTGGAAATTAGCTATAAACTGTTAGGAATCATTTGTTCTGCATCATATGCTTCCATGGTTTTCCTGAATCCTTGCTCCATGGTATATATTGGTTTATAATCAAGGTATTTTTTTGCTTTTTGACAGCTGTAATAATGATGAGTTGATATGAGAGCCACCTTCATGGGTGTGAAGGTAAAATTAAGTTTAACTAGTGGAGATAAAATTATATGGATAATTTGAAGAATACATGCTATAAAGTAAATGAAAGAATAAGGCAATTTGTATTTGGGAGCTGGATAGTTCTTGCTAACAATAATTTTAGTCAGAAAATCCCAAAATAAAGTTGGCTCATCATTTGTAATATTAAAAGCCTATTTATATTAATATATGATATTTATTAATATAAAACTTGAAACCTGTCCAGATATCTCTTTTTCATTTGTTTTTAACTTTTCAGATGCTAAAAATATAGCATTAGCTACATTTTCCACATATGTAAAATCTACAACATTTCTTCCATCCCTTAATTTCCAATATATAAATAGTGATATAATAATACTAACTAACCCCACAATAAATTTTAATTTGTTTTCTTTGGCTGCCTTTAATGTTTGAGGAACCAATAATTTATCTCCTGGACCATATATGCCATGTGGCCTAATAGCAACTGTAAGAAAATTATTGCGTGTATCATTAGCTTGCAGTACTAACTAAAATATCATAATTTACTTTTAAATTAAATATAAACCTTTTCTTGCTCAATTTTTGTTTGGATATATGGGCTTAAAAAACTTTGGGCATAAGGCAAACTTTCATTTCCATTACATATATCTTTGCCTTCATAGACAACACTTGCACTACTGACTAATAAAATGCGCTAATATTAAGCTTTAAAAAGATTCATTAATAAAAATAATTCACAGTTACACCCATAGATTTGCAACATTTTAAAATATTTTTAGTGCCATCAATATTAACTTGTTTAAATATATTAATATCATTTAAATATTCTGGGGGAGATACACAATTAATTACTATATCTGTATCTTTTAAACATTCATTAAGATCCTAATAAATTTACATATATATTCCAAAAAATTGAAAAACCTAACTTGTTCATTACAAATTGATCCCTTAAAAAACTTTGCATCTATGTTAGCCTTTTTATCATAATATATATCAAAAATCCATGTTTCATAACCTTTTGATATGAATAGATTAACAACATGCTTACCTAAAAACCCGTTACCACCAATAATTACAGCTTTCATGAAGCGTTTTACAGAAAATAATAAGAAGCCATATGTAATGATTTGTTAGTTTGACATGTCGAATGACATATTATTTTTGGACATAAAATGATGCATTTTAGTCAACAAAAAAAAATGTCTATTAAAAAATAGAATTATTTTCGAACATTATTTATTCTTTAACCCTTGAGTGGTATGGTATAATGGGGCCAATGACATTAATACTATAGACTGCCGATCGTAATGCTGAAATCAAATTTGAAGTGGTAAAAATTGAATTATGTAGCGGCCATTTTTTGTTTGGAGCTTTTAGGAAAGAAACGTTTGATAATTCATAAATTTCAGATTTATTTTTATTATGTATAATATTTCTAATCTTATATGTTTTACGATGAATAAAAAACATTTTTAGAGCATTTATGGATATACTGTTTTGATATTTGCCTAAAGTAATCAAAAATTAAAATTAGATTTTAGGGAAAAATTTAACAGAACTATACTTTTTCAAGGGCATAAATCAAGTATTATAAAAATATGTTATTTAACTTAAATATTTATAGGTCAAGGAAAAATTATGGTGATTATTTGTAAGAAAAAACTACACTTTATACCATATAATTTTGGTTATAATATTACATTTATTTTATTAGATGTAAATATAACATATATATTTATTTGTATTTATTATTGTAAAAATTTATAAGATAATTTTATTTTTCTCAATATACATATTCATTATTGATTTTTGTACTTTAGTGAATTAAATTTAAATAAATATATTTAGAAATGGATAGTTATAATTATTAAGGAATAACATAATTCAAAGCAAAAATAAAATAAAATATAAAAAGACTTATAAATTATAAAAAAAACCTCTTTTTATTTGCTAAAAAAATAAATACAAAAGAAATTATATCAAAATTTTTTTTTATATAATTCAAAATATTTATCAATAAAATCATATATATTCAATTTTGTTTTTGGAGTAATTTCTAAAATTCCAAATCACATGTTAAATATTTTCATGGCAAATCTGACATAATAATTTTTACAAGAAAAAATAGGCTATTAATATAAGCTGCATCTTTAGATTTAATTCTGAATATTTAATTTGAGATATCATACTTATGAAAGGAAATTTTGCTTCCTGAACATTATTTTTGGTTACAGCCATACGCACTACAATATATTACCATTTTCTTAAAATATAAAAAATATATTAAATTTTATAATAAATTTTAGATCATAATATATCTTTCCTCACTTTGATTTTTGTTATTAAATATATAAATATAAAATATTAAATTAATTCTTATAAAAAATATTCAGTCTAACTTGATAAGTCTAAATATCTTAAAGATATTCATGAAGTATTAAAGAAAACAATAAATCCTTACTTCTCTGGAAATGACAAAATTTTAAACTATATTCTTATTAGTATAGAGATTTTCTTTTATATTGATTAGTCTATATAAAATATTAAAGATATTCATTAAGTAATAAACTGCAAATGTTAATAAAGTGCAGGAATATTTAATTATATTCTCATCAAAAGGTATATATTCTAACTTGCTTAGTCTACTAATATTCATTATGTATTAAACATCACCTTTACTTTCTTTGTAAATATTAATAAAGACTAGAAAATATTTAAATAACTATAAATTACTGCTCTAAAAATGTTTTTTTTATTCATCAAGTAAAAAAATATGATTATAAATATAATGTATAATAAAAATAAATCTGAAATTTATGAAATTATCATACGTTTCTTATCTAAAAGCTCCAAACACAAAATGGCCGCTACTCAATTCAATTATTGCCACTCAAATACATTAATCGGCAGTCTATAGTATTAATGTCATTGAATGGGGCACGGAATAGCAACACCACAATTATATTATAATTACTAAAAAAAATCTATTAAAATTTTGACAATGTTTTTTCTATGCTAAACTATTATTCTGCAAAGTTTTCACATATTTATTTAAATTATATTAACATAATCTTTTTTTTTGGAAATGGCTCCACTCAATGTTGCATGTGAATATAGCTCTCGAGTTAGTCTGGATTTTCCATTAAATATATATATTGAATATTATTCATATAGATATTATAAAATAAAATAATAATTATTAACGTTTAGTCGCGTTCATTATAAAATATATTGATTATAATATCACATTATAAGAATCAGATATATTTAAAAAATATAAGACACAGGTCTCTGATAAATATCCAAAATATTTGTCAAATTATATCTATCTTTAAATTAATATTAAATTCTATGCTTTTTTTTACAAAATATTTTTTTAGCAACCCGATAAGTAGAGAGTGTGAAGCTTTCTGGATTCAGATACTTTTCAAAACTATCTCAAGGTGACATACCCAGGAACTGAATGAGCTTGATCATAGCATATTAATGTTTATTTTAAAAAATATTGTAAATATTTTTAAATCCTATATTACTATCATCGATATTTATGTAAAACGGTTTATGATTGCTTTTGAACCAAGCAATGACAATAATATAATCATTGTCAATAGGAGTGTTTTAATAAAATGAAGATTAACATTTACGTATATAGAAAGGTAAGGGAAAAAGAGGGGTTATGTATATACAGCGTCTACATGACAGGATTTTTACCGGATGCAAACCCCCTTCAAAAACCTTTGACTACCCCCCTAAAAATTCTCGCCACCCTCAGCGGCGGTGTCTCTCTATTATTATTTTCATCTTTTTAAATTATTGATACTCTTTTCAGAGAACTAATAAAGGATAACTTAAATTAATCTATCTCTACTACCAACTATCGATATTTTGTGAATATAAAGAATTTATTTTTAGATAAAAAATTCAATTAAAATCTATATTATTTACAATGAATTAATTATTATGACATTATGAGCTTGCTGAAATATCTAAACCTTTTAAATTACATTACAAAGGATAGCAGAAATTTTCATTTGGAAAACAATGTGTATGATTGTTTGCAATATATAGATTTGGTCGATGAATTGTATTATAATAAAAGTATTAATTTTACAGCAATAAATTTTGTCCTATTTGATCTCAAAATTTAATAGATAACCCCCCAAAAAATTTATCATACACCCATTAAAGCAGCCTACCCCCTACCCCCTCAAAAAAATAAGATGCAAACTGTTCCTACCCCTCCCGCTCATGTAGACGCTGTGTATAAATGAATAATATTTACGGTTTCAACGTAGGGGCGTCGCTAGTCTTTACAATCTCAGGGAGCTCAACAAAATTTATGGGGGCTTCGCCCCTACCCCAATGCCCCTCATTTTGCGGGCCTTCGGCCCGTTGTCTAGCCTTCGGCTGGGTTTTATATTGATATACTATACTTTTTTAAAATTTGTTAACTCTGAACAAGTATTCTGAATTTCATATTTTGTATGTTTACAAAATAGACTGGCATATAAATGATTAAAACAATACATGACATTTCTAAAAATAATATTTTTTAATACAAAATTTGTTTATTACTGTAATATTTTCGATTGTTGATATAAAGAAATTTTGCGTTTAAAAAATTACAAGTGATAAAAAAATTTAATTAATTCATACATATGCTTCATTGTCATTGGTTTTTAAAAACCACATAATGCAATAATATAATTCTTAGCAACTTACATTGACAAAAGGTTATCAAACTAATATAACTTTCTGTTACCATTTTCGACAATGTTTTATAAAATGTACTAATAAGGAAAAATTTATAAGCCTAAACCAAATAAACAATTTTTGAAGAAGAGAGTATAAATGACCAATCCGAATCATAAAACTATATGCTGGTTAGAGTTTCCTCTTAGACGATATGATGGAAGCTAGATAAGTAATCGAGAAGATTATTGTGAGATATTAAATTTCTAAAAAGATTATCTTCCATTTTTTATTATATATAAACGACTACACAGTTGACAATTACTGCTTTCTAAAATATGCAATCATATGCTCTCAGCCGTTGTATTAATAATCTTAAATTACATTAGCACACAAATAATAGATGCTGGTTAATTTGCAGTCATAGCCATGACATCCACGATGTTAACTCATATTACTATCAGAATTTTTTATATTAAAAAAACAAAAACACTAAAAATGATTAAAAGAAATTATGCAAATATATTGAAGCCTTGAGATTTACATGGCAAGGATGCTATAATAGAAATGAAACATTTTGTAACTATAAAATAAGAACCAGAGTGATATGATGAAAGTAATTAAGATTTTATATATTATTGTCGCACCACCTCTAGTTGGTATATTATATCTTAAAATAATAGTAGTTTGTAATAATATTAAAAATATACGTATTAAAATTTTAACTCAAAACTCTTTTTCAAAGAAGAAAAAAATAGCTTTCCTAAAAACACTTTAAAAAAAAGAGAAGAAAAGATATCGAATTTATTACATCCATTGTGGGAGAAGAATAATAAGATGTTTAATTTTTAATAATATTATTTAATAAATAGATGGCATTAAAGAATTGAATGCAAATTTTTTATATTTATTATCAAAAGAATTTATTAGTAAAATTTATAAAAATATTAATTGTAATATATTATAACTGTCAAATACGTCTATAAAAATGGCTTTTATCTAATATTTTATAAACAACTGTTATAATATGTCAACTTACTTTTTATAAAGAAATCTCTTATACTTATTTGGACCTTGAATTTTTAGGAATAGGTATAATAATAAAATTTAAAAATAAATATACAGTTGATTATTCATTTTGAACTCGGCTAATTACAATATTAAATTTGCTAATTTTCAAATAATATATGATTATATTTATTTAATTAGGGTTATATAATAATTTAAATAATAAAAGTCAATTAAACTTCAAATGTTAAAGCTAAATTAATATTTACTGAGTTATTGATATTATATTTTTAATACAGAATTTGATCGCAAGCTGACATAGTAAAAAAATAATTTTTATGTATTAATCTAATCTAATAATTAAAATAGTATTCATTTAATAAAAATTTAAATAGTCT